CTATTACTTCTGAATTCCACCGTCTCCGAAAGGGAGCCGCTGCAGACTATAGTTATCACTGGGGAGGGGGGGAGTCAAATCGCACACACGGTAATTACAAACAGGACCCTTTGTCGGGCCACTCTGACAAACACACCGAAACTCCAGTCAATTCGTCAAGCGGCCAATTCATGCTCGCCCACCCGATGCAGACCGTGCCACTCCTCCACGAGCCCTTCAGCATTTGTCGCTCCCCTCCCCCACTTTTTTTCAAGCGCCCTCTTCCCCACTCCAATCTTAAGGGTACCTCGGGAGGATACGTAAATCAGCAGGAAGAGCTTGGCCAGGACTGACAAATAAAGCGTAGTTCGCCCCCTAAATCAAATCCCCCGTACCTAGTTTAGCCAGGTCATCCAATGAATTGACCAGCTGGACTCAGGCCACAAAACCCTCTCGCGTGCGTGTGTGTATGTATGTACAGCGACTTTTATCCAACTCTTTTTTTTTTTCCTCCCCCAGCTCGTGGACACAGAACGCGCACGTACAGGTCCGCCCATCCCGGGCAATGTCGGCGTCCTGTGGACCGATCCCGCTCGAAACCCTCCACGGCGAACTGTTAACTTAAAAATGGCTCCTAGTACAGTATATACATCACCACAGACTTAAATCGGTGCAGAAGAGGAAGGCCTGAGAAGCTCCCTATCTTCCCCATTTCTCCAGATCTACTTTACATCAGACGTTCCCTAAACAGCATGCCAATCCCGAGCAAAACGCGAGATGGGAGGTCTGTGTACCTTGTCAAAAAGCCGCCGCCGCAGAGCCCGGACCCGGGATCGAAGTCTGCTTCCAGCGCGTCACACGGACGTGCAGCAGCTGCAGCAGTCAGAGCCACGCGTCAGCGGCGGCGGCGGCGGCGGCGGCAGCAGCAGCACAGCCGGGCTCTGCCCAGGGCGAGCCCGCCGCAATTTTCAGCAAATCAGAAATGGGCAAGCGCTTCTGAGACCCCCGACCGACTTAAACGAGGTAGGAGCTACATCCGGCCAGTTTTTTTTTTTAAGTAGATCAATTCTTCCACTTAGAACCAAGATGAAATATTACCCGATACTATGAACACTTAATTATCAAAGACAGACTGCCAGGCCTACTATACACGGCATTATCTCTGCACTTGACAAACGGTGTTAGCCGCTGTTACTTTTATTCTAAAGGACAAGCAATCAATTGAGTAACAGCTAGAACTATTATTTCCCATCTCTTCTTCAGAGACTGGAAAAGAATTGGGGGGGGCACTTCAGCCCGAAGATCCCCAGGTTTCTGTCTGCCAAGTTCCATTTTATCCTATGTTTTGCCACTGTGACAAATAAATGTAGAAACAAGAAGGCAAAGGCACCTTTAACACCCTCTCTTGCCCTCCTGGTCTGACCACCAAGGACAGGATTGGGCCCACCGTATTGGCTAGAGAAGGAAAGGACAAGCATCTTCTGCCCGTAGCTCTGGATAGCGCAGCACAGAATTCATAATGAAGGAAGAACCGCATACTCTTCTCAGTCACTCTGGTCTTCTAGCATGGGGAGATGGGGGTTGACTCAACTAGTTCAGTTTTTAACATCATCCATCAAGACGGGCAGAGAATGCAGGCAGAGGCAGAAACCCATCTTCCATCTCAACACCTCCCAGAGGGAGTAACCCAGTAGGCCGCTGCTTCCTTTTGTATATTTCCTTTCTCTGGATAATTCCAATTGCCTCTCTACAATGCGCTAAGAGGTGGGATGTGCAAACATCTAGGAAGTTGCAGAAGAGATTGTAGATGAGGAGCCAGAGATATCACCACCACTTGCCGAGTCTTGTGCATCTGCAAAAGTACCTGACAACTTTCATTTTTTTGTCATACTAAAAATGACAAATCAATAAAGATGTGCATCTTTATCATAAATGGCGAAAGAGAAACTGGCACAGCATAAGTAAAGTATAGTTGTTTGTGTTGGCTACAAGTCCAGAAGTACACCAATACTTCACTTATTTTGAAGCAGGTCATACTGATTTCACTAAAGTAGTTTCATATTACTGTTCCCAGATGGAAAGACTGAAAACAAGGACTTTAGCCAGAGCTGAGCTAAAATTCCAGTTCTTTTAGAAGTTGGTAGTTACAAGATGAGTGTAATATTTGACTCATATGGATTTCCCTAGGCCAAACAAAAAGGAATCACAGTACCATTATTTAGATTACATGAACAATTCTACAGCAGTTACCAAATACTTTACACTGTTCCATAGTAATTGCTTCTAATGGCATTCCCCTATATTAATTCACATAGTTGGTCAGATTTTCTTAGTTCTACCAGACTGGAATTTTTTGGGTTACTGTATGTAGATAAAATTTGTTTCTATATTAAAGGGTTTACCCACACAGCCTCTCTGCCATGCTTACATCCCTGGGAGGAAATTGAGTGGGTATAAATTATATTGCCCCCACAGCATGGCCCTTACACACCTCCAGAATGTGCTCATGTTGTGCTTCTCCATGTGTGGAGAGTAAGGAAGATTACCTTAATGGAGATATGCAGGAACCATTACCTAGGCAAAAGCGTTGAAGCATTTTTTAAGTCCAGAACAAGATAACTTTCAGAAACAAATGAGGCAGATGCCTCCCTAATTCACTAAACTATAAGGAGGAGGAGGTATAGCACAATCAGACTTGCATGATTCTGTTATTATAGCCAATCTCAATAAAAACAGTTTTAGCCTTCCTGTGGACTTGATTTCCTGGTCTGGTCTACTTAGTGGGGCTCACCCATGTGACAGTGAAAAGGCAGTGAGTGATAAATGGTTTTCCTGACTCAAATGTGAATGCCACCAACTGTGGAAAAAGCCTTCACCAACTGTAATGGTATGTGGGAATGACCTTGGGAGATAGGGGGAAGAGCGGCAGCCAGAGTAATGGTCGGATAGGAGGAAGCTTAGCCCGCAGCAAGAATGTGGGTGTGGCAAACATCTTAGAAGGGACCTTCCCTAGTTTCTTGGGCTGTAAAGATGATGGGGGAGAAATTTACTTTCAGACTTGCAAGAGTCTGTTAATGTAGCCTTACAATAAAGTAGAATTATTTCATCTGAGCATAATTCTTAGGTTGACATCAACTGCCATACAGATCATGTGCCAGGGTAGTACTCATAAGTCCGGAATCTCCATCCAATCATCTTTTTTTCTTTTCTTTCCCAAAGTACTATTGACCTCCAGATCTGATGAACATTAAATGGTAGCGCAGTTTGTCTTTCTTAAAATCAAAATAGTAGTTGCCTCAGTTTTTGCAGTTCAGATGTTTCAATTGCATAAAAGGAGTTTTGGTGTGTATGTGTGTGTGTGTGTGTGAGAGAGATGTTCAGCTGTGTAGTGCTCTTGGGGTGATTGATTTTGTGTCAACTCTTAGCAGCCACCCAGACAGACCTTCTCCAAAATGATCTGTCCCAACCTCAGATCTCCCACTGGTGCACCCATCATTGCTGTAACTGAATCCATCCACCAGCTGCTTGTCACTCGTTCCTTCTCTTTTTTTTCATTACCTCAAGCCTCCTTCTCCAAGGACCATGAATTGGGAGACAGTCCTCTGTTTTCCTGGAAAAATGCTACTTTCATGCCAGAACATCCTAGACCAGCTTCTCCCTGCCACAGCCATGGGCTGCCTATGAGATGGGGCCTCTATTGTGAAGATATGTCTTCACAAATTGGTTAATTAGCTGTATTTGCGCCCATAGAGACACGCCCAGAGATTCAGAGCTACTACACTATTTTTCTGGCATGGCAAATCATTTTAGTTACCTGAACTAGGCTAAATGCTTATTGCATCCACTTGTCACTGTGTGAGACATTTTGACCACCCAAAGTTAAAAGGAAGTTTCACCTTTTTTCCTTTTCCTTATTTACAATGAAATTGATTGTTAAAATGCTATTTCAGTTTTTGTTTGTTACTCCTGGAAAAAGGAAGCGGAAACTACTTTCCTCTGACAAGACTCCTCAAAGCTACAAGGCCATAAGGTGATGCTACGGAGTTTATTTTTCCTTTTACAGTATTATTATTTTTATTGCCATCTTCATCATGGTCATCATCATCACAGCTACTATCACCATCATTATTATCACTATTATTATGCCCAGTTTATTGGCAAATGTGTGAGATCCCCATTTGTCTCACAAGCTGGGGTTAAGGGGAAGGATGCTGAGTCAAGCCACTCCCTTTCAGGAGCCTGGAAGATGGGTGATGGCAGCTGTAAACTACCAACAGCTGCACTAAGATGAGAAGGCAGATCAGGGTGTGTAAAAGAGAGAGGAGGGTTGGACCCCCAATTCACCCTATCTCTGCTTCTATGGTGGCAAAACAGAAAGTTCACACAAACATATTGCAGACAGAAAAATAGAGCAAAAACTGGGCTTGAAAAAAAATGGCAAACATTAGGCATTTTTGGATAAATCTATTTGACAACAGATTCTGCATAATTAAAATAAATTCCCATTCACTTTTCTTGCCACGCATATTTTATTTAATAAAATAAAGTATGCATGAGTCATTCATTTATATCTTCTACAGATTATTCATTATTTACCTGCAAACTTACCTAATTCACATTAAAACAGTGTTAATCCCATACTTAATTCTTGTCCCTGAAATCCTAGTGAATCCAACTGAAATACTGATGTTTAAACTAAAATATATAGGAGATCTAAAAAAGGAAAGGCATTGGTTGTCAAACAGAAAAAGAAAAAAATATTGTTTAATTTTATTTAGTTTGTCTAAATTTTGGATATCAAATTCTTTTTGAAAGGCTCAAACTTCTTATATTTAAAGTGGGAAAGGACTTTGATCCCTTGAAAAAAGGAGTTCATACTAAAATGTGTTGGACAATCTAAATACAACATTTTCACACAAGTCACCTTTTTTTTTTACACAGTGGGATACAAAACTGACTGTACAGGTAGTCCTTGACTTACAACCACAATTGGGACTGGAATTTCCATTGCTAAATGATGCAGTCATAAAGTGCGATGCCATGTGACTGCATCACTTAGTAACAGCAATCCTGAGCAGTCCCAGTTGCTGTCATAAGCCCAAGATGCATGAGTCATTAAGTGGGAAGAGGTGGGAGTCCCAGGTAAGGAGCACAGGGGTGCCACGGGGGGGGGGGGGGGGAAAGAACTGGGAGGGCTAGCACAGGCTGCACACAAGTTGGGGGATGGGGGTGCTGCAGTGCAGTGTGAGCTCAGGAAGTCTGGGGAAAGAATATGCTGAGGTTCAGGGGCTTCTTGGTGTGCTACAGCTCCGGGGCTACAAGCTTTTCACAGGCCAGAGCTGTGGTGGACCAGGAAGCCCCTTTGGGCCACGCTGCTGGATTGGACTGGGGGTGGGCTTCATGCAGTGCAAAGGGGCTTCCTGGTGCACCATGGTTCTGGGCTTTTTGCTTTTTGCAGCCCCAGAACCGTGGTGTGCCAGGAAG